AAGAAAGTAGTGATAAGGAAACTCAAACGTGTGTTTTTCTTTTTAAGTCAGAAACAGGTTGCATTTCACAGAATACTCAATGCATTAAACAACACCGCACTATTTTTCTTTTCCTTCTCTGACTCCTACCTCTTTGCATCTATTTTCCTTTCTGCCTCTTTTTATCTCTGTGTACTTGTACGTGTGTGTGTGTGTGTGTGTGTGTGTGTGTGTGTGTGTGTGTGTGTGTGTGTGTGTGTGTGTGTGTGTGTGACTGCAGTCATGTCAGAGTAAGGCCGGCTGAAGCCCTTACAGCAGTCAGCCTCTTTGATGTTGAGCCCTGCCGAATTAGGCCATCACCCAGCGGTGCTCTGCTGACTGCCTGCACCCACACACTGTCTCTCGCACACAAACAAGGTACACACGTACCAACCAAAACAAATGCATCCTGGCAGGAAGGCACGCACATGGAAAATAAAAAGTTTCTGCGCCGCTGTTCGCACACTCGGCAAACCCTCGGACGGTGCGCTCGGAAACACGGCGTCCACAAACATTTCTTCACCCTCGGCCAACGCTTCACACCCGCTTCTCCTGCGCGCGCCTCTTTAATAAACATAAATGTAAATCCTCACGAGTGCCTCCCCTCTGAGGCGAAGAAACAACGCGCACACAGGCGAAATGTAGGACAATCGGAGGGAGTTTATTCAGAATCGCAGGAATACATGCGAGGATGCCTTCCTTCCCTTTGTGGGAATCGGTCGCCTTGGACAGCTTCCCGAACCAGCAAGTCGTACTGTGTGAAATGGACAAAACTCCGTCTTTGCTGGCTGTCGCCCTCCGTTATTTACCGGAGAGTTGGAATAAATAGGTGAAAAGACAGCGATATGTTCTGTAAGAACAAAGTCTCTCAGCAAAAAGCACAAAGCAGAAATAAAAACCTACTTAAGGGCAAAATGAGGCAGATATGTTTTTTAACACATTTCACATTTATCACATAGCAGCCACACGCTTTGACTAATTTTGATAGATCAGAAGTAAGAGAAAAATGACGACGGCAAAACCTGCAAAGACGTTCTCCGAACCTGACAGGCCGGGCAAGAGGTTGACGGTTACTCTGGAGGAGCTGCACCGCTGAAAAGACAGTTATGTGACCAGGAGCCTCATGGTGTGGAGATGCTTTTCTTCGGTAGCAAAATGGAAGTTGGTGAGAGTTGATGGGAAAAAATCATGGGGAAAAAAACTATCTTGAGTTTCACCTTCAAGCCGGACAGCAACCCTAAACATCTGGTTAGCATTACCATGGAGCGGATGGTAATCGAATGATAACAGTGTCAAACTCATCAAGTCTGGAGCAGAATCCACATGAAACGATGCAGCAACGTTTTAACTTGTCACTCTGCAAAAGTAGTCACAAGTCGCACAAGTTGTTGCATCTTTTTTATTTGTTTTCTTTTCTTTTACTCCCAACCATAAGTCCTGGCAAGTGGGAGTGAAATAAACTGAGCTATGAGAAACATGCCATGTGACAGCTGTTGAACTCAACATGGCAACCCCTCCGTCTGTCCACTCCACTTCCTTTTCAGCGTTTCTTGACATACTACCGACGTCAAATGTCTGGAGTGATGACGCAGACAACATCAGACTTCAGGAGGGGCTGAAACTCGAGAAACCTGAGAGATAAAATGTTTTACTTCTTGCCTTGACGACACAGACGACCTTCGCTGTGGGGATGAGTTTGCTTTCCTGAGATGAGCTTAAAAGCAGAAAAGTGATCAAAGAGGGTCATTTGTTGGTTGCAATTTCGACTCAAGCAGCGAATATATTTGTTTACCAGTGGTTGCCATGCCTGCAAGAGCTTTCTGTTTTGCACCTTTACGTTAGAAGGAGGATTTTAGACTCCGGGATGGATGGACGTGGTTTGTGGCGCCGTCAAAGTCCCTTTAATCGTTAAACATCAACAGAAGCTGCTGGGCTTTCACAGCTAACAATTTGTTTCATGGAGGTTTACAGGGAACAAAAATGGCATGCGCTTTGTGAAGAAATCAAGATGAATCATGTTTATGAATCGTGTGTTGCTTTTGATACGTTCCTTGTTTAGTGTGAGTGTCAGGACTCGGAGGGTAAAATATCTAATCTACCACTGTGTCGGTGAATGAAAGCTGAATTTTATTTCCCGAGCCTCAACCAGTTTGCAGGGGATGGAAACGTTTTGGAATTGGAGATTCGGCGACTGAATTATAAAACAATTTTTTTCAAAACCGGACCTTCTTCAGGCACGATGTGGGACATTTGTGTGTCATACGACCTCTGACCTTCTGGTCGTAGCTGTGCTTGAGCTCATGTGTAAAATGATTTTGTGTCCTATTGAAAAGGAGCACATAAAAATGCTGTAATGACATTTCATATGCTATTTATATAGTTTGTCAGTTTTTACATGACGTTTGCATAATCACCAAGCTGTTGTTGCCAAATATGAAATGATTTCATCTGAGTCACTGGAAAAAATAAACTTTGAATTTGGATTTAAATCAAGTGTTAACATGAGATTTTGATTTTTGTAATTTATTCTTTTTATAAATAAATTACAAACTTAATCTCTCCAGACATGGACCAGAGTGAGATTTCGTACTATGATAATCTTGAGGTACTAAACACATAAAAAGATTCAAAACAACACAACATGATCTAGTTGGTTGTATTGAAAAAGGTTCCAACCAGCTTGGAGTGTTTTCAACAAGTGACTTTGAAAACACCCCAAAAACTGACTTTTTTTTTTTTTCTTGTTCTTCTTCATTTTTAATGTAGTGAGGAAAAACAATGTGAGAAAAATAGAACCAGATAGAGTCAACCTGCTGTACTTTAACACTCTGGTCACTTTGGGACTTTCTCCAGAAATCTCTCTAAACTGACCAGAGAAATGGCAGGAGGTAAAAGCTTTAGTTTTAACATTTTACCTTTTCAATAGGTCTTTGTACCTTAATACCCATAGCTTCCCCAAGCCTATTTTTTTCCATCAGTCATTATAAAACTAGTTATCGTTCTACATTAAAAAGAAATAAAAGATGTATCATGCAAATGCCACATTCTCTGTTCTGCTAAATACTTGTTTGTTTTGTATTTCCCTGCTGAATGGAAATCCCATCGAGCAGAGAAAGATAAGGCTGGTCTGTGCATTACAACATCTATGCTGTAACAAACAAACTCTCTCTCTCTCTCTCTGGCCTGGAACATCCCTCTGGTCAAACTGGAGACCGGCCAAGGACCTTTCCATCAATTCACTGCTGTTTTTTTCTTCTTTCTTTCTCTCTCTGTCTATCTGCGCTTTTAGTTTACTCTGTTTTTCTCTCCCTCTGTCCGTGTCCCTCGCTCCGTCCGCTTCATTATTTCCACTATTGCCTCCCTAGTATGAAGACGTGGTGCGGGTCGGCCTCGGGAGCTGAAACTGCTACTTAAATGTTACGTAATCGCCACAGAACAGCATCAAACGCCACCAACGCCACCTCAGCTCCGTTGAAAGTTGCCCGACTTCACATTGCTGTCTGAGTGAGGTGAGCAGGTGCTTGTCTCCGAAGACAAAAGCCATCTCGGTCCTACGGCAACGCGCGGACACGATTGCGTCACCCAGCCGGGCCCCCCCCTGCACGCCGCGCCACACACACAGCGTGTCGCTGCTGCATATCAATTACACGGGGAAGTGAAGCTCTTTTTCTAATTCAATCAGTCGGCGCTGGTGTCACATTCCTCGCTCTCTGGCTTTCTCCCTGCTGATTCTCCGCCGATGCGTTTCGGTCGGGAGAGCTTGTTTGCGCGCCAGATTCTGAGTCCGCAAAGCCGTAACCTGCTGCATGGGAGCAGATTTATTTACGTGCAGTTGTTGTGGAGATGACATGGGAGGAAAGCCTGGAGGCAATTTAAGGTCAAAGTTAAAGACTTGGTCGTCTTCTTCTGTCCAACATCTGCCAGCTTTTTGAATCTGTTGGGTCAAAAACAAACTCAAACCCATTTGTGTTTTGTTTTGGTGACTCAGTCCTCGGTCAAACATCTGCCAATCTGGGCTTCGGTTCCAGGGATTCTTAGAGATCCAGTTTAATCCAATGAATTAGGATTTTAACTTGTGTTCATTAGAGAAAAAACTGTCACTGTGGTTGTTGGTTTTTGAAAACATTAGTAAATAGCAAATAGTAGCATGCATGTCTAAGCAGTTTGTGTCCAGGATGTGTGGGGTCTGCAGAGATGTTAGTTGCTCTTTTCCTGACCTAAGACCTTTACAAGTCCCGCACGGTGAGCTGTGACGATCTTCTCTGTATCCTTTATATATGCTATTAAGTAGGGCTGTTGTAAAAGAATATTTTCATACTCTATCGATGATTTTTACAATTAATGGAGCGATCAGATCTCTATCTCTCCCTTTCAGGCTCTCTTTGCCGTTACGCTGCTAGCACAGAGCAGCAACTCGTGGGAGGAAGTGAGCGATACCCAACAGAAGTGATGATCCGACTGCAACGCGGTGCACGAAATAATAAAACAATTTTACGAAGCTTCGAGGCAGATCGATTTTCCATGAGGAAAATCGATCTGCCACCCTACTAGTAAGGCAACCAAATTCAGAATAATTCATCACCTGGATTATGAAACAAGTCATATTCAGGTTCAAATTAATTTGTTTCATTCATTTTCTATACAGCTTTTCACCAATTCTTGTCTGCAGTCTCATTCTTTCCCTGCTTTAATCACGTTTCACACCAAGTTTCATCAACCTGAATTTACTTTCATTTAGTTGACAAATTAATGTAACTGAGGATAACACTTTTTTTTTAGAATACCTGCACTCAAGGTTTGCCTTTGCATTTTGGTGCAAACTTGATTTTTCCTTTTTTCTTTTCTTTTTTTTAAATAAAAATCCTCGGCAGTGCTTTGAGGTCATGATGCACCAGCTTCTTTCTTCACTTTTCCCAAAGCTCTGGCTTCCTTGTGAGAAAATGAGTCACTCTATTTTCTCCCTCTCTCTGTCTCTCTTTTAGATCACAACCACTTGAACAATGCAGCTCTGTCCCCGCTGGGACCAGCCATGGCCTTGTCTCACCCTCACAACAACCTGGGAATTGGCTTCAATAAGTACACCTCACTCAAGGCCATAGGTGAGTCGACCTCCGCAGAAACGCTGTGTCGAAAGCGGCACTGTTTGTGTTTGGACACATTTGTGAATGCTGACGAATGCAGCTGCTGACGTAAGACAGAACAAGGAATGCAAAGAAGGTGGGAAAATCGGAGGAAGGGTAAGACTCCTTTACAGTGACGGGTGTCATCATGGGTCATCATTCATTTCTGAATGCTCTGTCTGACGCCCGGCTTTCATATTGCAAAAGATTATTGCAGTCGTGATGTGAATATTGCGACTAAATTCACCTGTTCACAAGAAAAAAAATATTCCAACATCCCGGTTTTATTGCTTGCCTGGTTTTAAATACACATTAGTTCCACCTGCTGGAGTTTTTTGCAGCTCTTTCCTACAGAACAGTGGAGAGAAATTGACTTCAAGCTTGTGCGTTCCCCCCCAAACATCGCCACCTGCTGGTCAACGAGTGCAAACGATCAAGCAAAAAATGTCTCCGGCAGCTCGATGACATTTAGGATAAAAACTCTACTGGTGAAATATATCGGTGACGTCATCATCAAACGACGACTATTACAGTTGGCCCCGCCTGTTTGCGCTTCAGTATTCAGGGAGTCACCGATTTGCAGCTTTTTCTGGTGAACGCAGCTATAAATTTGCCTAGTAGCTGTTGTGTTTTTTTTAGAAAAAGAAACCGCAGCTGGTTGAGGCTGAACTACGCAGGCGCGATGCTACTTGAAACCAGTGGCGGAGCTAGACTTTTTTTCAAGGGGGGGCCAAAGGGTGAGCAAGGCTTTATCAGAGGGGTCCATATACAAATGGACCGTTCCATGGAACAAAAGGAAAAAAAATATTTGTTTCCTTTCGTTTAAAATTAATTAATACAACTAGTTAGGTTATAATTCAAAGCTTTCATATTACATAGCCTACTTACATTTCAGTCATTATAAAACTTTATGGTTTTTCACATATTCTTACCACACATGTTTCAAGCAAGAGCTGAGAGATATAAAACATTACAGGGCAGCATGTCACTAAAACATATGTTAAAAGAATCTGTCTAAAACACGATCTACCAGCACTAGCATGGCTAATATAATAAACGAGGCACTACGCAGCGGTGCACAACCATTTTTTTTTCTTTTTAGAAATGTATGACAAGTGCCGCCTCTCATTAGGAAGGTAACAGCGGTTACCGCTGAGCGCTAAAATGTTGGAAATACCTGCAAAACTCCTGGACGGTGTAACTCTAAAGCCGCGGATGTGTTTTGGATCAAGCAGGACCCACATGTCAGTTTAACCAATGAACAGCGTCGGGCATCGAGCTGCCTTCAGGGTCAGTCGGAAATTACAGTTTTCCTGGCAAATCTTTGCTGATCTCATAAGTATTATATTTTAAAATGACCATTTCCAGTGGGGCGGCAGTAGGGGTGGCCAGGCCTCTGTTGGGGGTGGCAAGTGCCACCCCGGCCACCCCTCTGGCTCCGCCACTGCTTGAAACGCTATTGGCTGACGTTGGCAAAGCAGCCAATCTGGGAGCGGCGTTCGTTTTCCTCGCTGCCAATTGGCTACACCCCGCAAAGCAGAGATCAGGAAGCGTTAGCTTTTACTTGGACCCGATGTGTATGAGGTTTATTTAGTGTTTGAGGCTGTCATGCAACAACAAACACTCTCCAGTCACAGGCTTCTTCAGATTCGTTGTATCTTTCCTGCCCACAAAGAGGTGTGTATTTTTATTGGGTGTATGTAAACTTCTGGTCACAACTGTACATATTCTACTAAAATGTGTATGTATTTTATTTAATATTTAAGATGTATGTTTATTTACCCCCTAGCTTGACTGAGAGATCTGTTTTTATCACATTAAACATAAAACTAATCCTCAAAATTACAATTTGCCTCCTAATTTGTCCACACAGAGCTAAAATACCAGTTTTAAAAAAAACAGAGTCTAAACAGGAACATTTAGATTTCCTGTCAGTTTCTAAAATTTCACGCCTTCAGCTTCACCCAGATTATGCTTTTGCAGTAAAAGTGATATTTTTTAATCGGTTCTGCCCAACATCAACATAAACGCCTCTACTCACAGCGACTCGATGCCCGAAACCCTTTGCATGCATTTCATGTGTGCAGATAGAAAAAGCTCTCTTCATCTGGTCACTGCAGACAGAGGAGGGCGTGGTGACAAAGATGGGGAAGGACAGCCTGACACATGCATGTGTGCTGCTCAACATGAGAGCGCCCGCCAGAGCAGGAGAGAGATGCAGAACGCAACGAGTCGGGGACAACGCGGCTTTGAAGGGCAAACTGGTAACTCGCAGCAGAGATTTAACAGAAGTAGGAATAACGCAGAAGTGCAATTAAAGCAGCAAGTAGGAGGAAGGGGAGAAAGACAAGAAAACACAGACGTTCCCATCTCATTATTCTGCTCTGTGAGTGAAAAACAAAGGCTGATTGCAGCTGCGGCAGAGAACCAGCCACTCCAAAAGGAGCGTCTGACACATTTCACCCAAAAACACTTCAAAGTAACAAATCCCTCACACACTGAGGTGCAATATGCTCCGTTCTCGCTCTCTCAATTTCTAAGTACTGAGCTCAGTCTCGGTTTGAGGACTTGCATGCTCCTCTGTTCGCTACCTGCTCTTAGCAGCACAGCACAGTGGGGGGTTTTATTGTTTCATTAGCCTTATGCATTACTTTGAATATGTTTTATTCTGTTTGAATGTTCATCTGATAAAGAGTACAGATATTTATGAAGTATAAAAAAATAGCCATGCCAGTAGGTGATGTTGAAGCTTAGAAAAAGGGGGGAAAAAAAGTCTATGCATTTTGAATTCATTTTAACACCATTCATAATTTTGTGCTTCCCATTAAGCAGGAGGTGGATTTAGGATAATTTTCTATCCATTACATTTGCTTGTCATGTTTTCCAGTGGAGATTATCTTACATGTCACAGCCACAGTTCATTATACTATTTCTTTAAGTTCATCAGGATTTTAGTCAAGTTTTAAATATGAAACCTGTAAAATACAAACTAGATGGATGAACACCGCAAACCCACCAGGAGACATCAGTTTAGCTAAATATTCACGCTAGTGCCAACTTGGTGACTTTTTTTTTTAATTTTATTTAAATTTTACTTGTCCACAAAAACATTTCCATTATAAATAAGTCAAGTGTGAAAGAAATGGAGTCACTTTTACCAAAGAAGCTTTCTGCTAAACCAGATTTGTTTGACCAAATAATGTTTTCACAAATCAACGAGTGCGTTTCAAAACCAGTTTTTTTTCCTTATTAGTCCATCTCTGTCTTAATATCAAACTAACAAGAACTACGTCCTTGAGTACTTCAAAATAAGAGTCCCAGACATAGCTTCCTGTTGCAAAGCTTGAAACATTCACCTTCATATCCCAGATTTGATTCTGTTGGTTCCTCTGCAATGCTTTTTTTTTTTTTTACATTCAGTCAAGAAGTTTGTTTCTGAAATTAGGCTGGTAACTGAGCTTATTAACGTTGAAAGAAAAACAATTTATGATTTTGTTCACATTTTATTTAGAAGTTGCAGGTCAACAATTTGCAGCCTTCTCAATAACCAATAAAAACGGTTTTGTTGAGGCTGGAAGGCCTCCTTTCATTCATCCTAATTCATATTCTCTATCAGATTCAAGCCATGACCCCGAAACATAAATATTACTTAGGTTAAAGAAAATTATTTCACACCCAAATCTGCCTGAAGGTCCAACCAAATGTGTATGCTGATGAGATTTTACTTATATTTTTTTGGTCGATGCAAATCAACTTTAAATATGCTTTTTGGACTGTTTATTCCTAAAACAACCTCTTTTTTTTTTCTTCAACACTTTTTCAACACAATAGAAAATAAAAGAATTTGATCAAAATCTTTTAAACAGCCAAACTAACCAGCATTTTTCTCTGATTTTTCCGTTGCTGCAGTTTTTTTCCCCCTCCAACAACAACAACAAAAAAAAACTGTCAGCAAATTACAGCGATAAGAAGCAGCAAATACTCCCCATTCATGCTTTCACACCTGCTTATCGGCTCCCTCACAAGGTAATAAACAAGCCACTGGGTCCAGAGGTCCTCGCTGTGCACACAAAGTCATGGCTAGGGCACAAAACAGTCCGGATGGGAGAGCTGACCATTTGCCAGGTGAAACAGCAGGTCCTGTGGACTCAGCTCTTTTGAAATCTTTTTTAATATAACACGGTTGGCCGGCGGCAGATTCATCCTAATCAGAGTTGAGAGAAAGCAGGCTTCAAGACACGCTAACCCAGATGTCGTTTTAGGCAGAGCTCCGTTGACGACAACCCGGATGTAAATCAGAAGGCCTCGCAAAATGAATTTGGTGTGAGGCATTTGTGAGGAGAAAAGGCATAAGGAGCTCAGTGGACTCCTTCCCATGAGGATTCACGAGAAGCGTGATTATTCTTCAGGTCTTGGCGATAAAGATGTCTGTTTAAAATCAAAACTCTCTCAACTGTGATTCGCCACTCAGGCGCGTTGCAGTGCCTAATGACAAGTTTTGACAAAACAAATGACAAATAGATTTAGCTCTAAAGGCGCTCAGAGCTAAATTTAAAGCATATCCGCAAATAGGAGGATTAGGAATCGTACCAGGAAGTTGTGTGACAATGAAGCTCTGCCAGAAGAAAACCACAGGGCCCTGGAGCAAGCAAATTTAATATACCTGTGTTAATTAAAGAAGCAAGAGGAGAACAGGTGTGCTGGCAGCCAGAAAATGTAGGATAAGTGCAGAGGAAGTGAGAGAGTAGAATGGACAATCCAAATACCAACGTAGAGCAAAGAGGCCATCGCTGTGGGACCAACATGTTTGTTTTTATTTACCCGTTTTTAAAAAAAAAAAAAACCTCATGGTTTTTTATTAACCGTGACAAAAGGAAAGTGTTGTTTTCTTTTTTCTCTGCCTCTGCCTGAGAAACTTTGGTTTCCAAAGGAACCAGAAATCATCAAACCCGGTGTTGTTGCAAATGGTGGGGGAAGTTTTCCCAACACTTTTTTTTTTAATCTCTGATTAGTGATTTTTATTGTTTATTTCTCAACTTTACATTTCTTCCTGACCTATGCCGCACTTTGGTTACCTTTGGTTTTTAAGCTTCTTTGTGAATGAACGAGTGAATCGACTGCAGCAAGCTTTTTTTAAAAAAACTTTTTGGAAACTCTGACAATTTACAATAGGCTTCTAAAAATATATATTGACAGGGAAAGCACGCAGAGCAGACATTGTAAACAAACATCTGCTGAGTAATAATCACATTCTGCATACAGAGAATGATTTGAACATAAAGTGAAGTCGTTCTGCGTTATTAATTAGCATTTTACAGATGAGGCACTCTTAGAATAGCTCCTTTAGCATAATGCACTGCATTACAATTAGTCCAAACCAGAGCGTGTTGTAAAGCGCTGAAATTCCTTCTGCGGCTCCAGCTAATGCATGTATAATGCAGTGGCTCAGACTAAACCCTGGGGCATTGTTTTAGGCTGCAACTGGAAAGAGAGCACCAGGCTGGTGCTGAAGAAGAGCAGAAAATATGTGAAACACAAAATTGAAAACAAAAACCAATTCAGGAGAAAAGGACGACCAGATGGGCGATTCTCTAATCCTGTCACAGTGAATCGGGCCGTCGGCTCGGCCCGGCGACAGCATGTGTGGAAACACTTAAGTGGACAGCAACAGCGGTTGTTGTTTTGAAGGCAGGGTCTGTTTAATTCATTATCCCTGCGCTGTCCCAGATTTTCTAACAGCGGAGCGCTGCCAGTTCACCTTCCACAGGAACCACAGCCGTCCGCAGCTCTGCTCTCACAGATTAAAGGTGAAATCGTCCATTTTTCACCAGCTGCACACGACGCCGTGCACCAATCTGCAGGGCCGATCTCATCCAGCCTTCGACAGCTTATTTACAATCTGCTCCGTTTTCTCGTGGAAACTTTATCGTAACTTGGTTTTATTTTCATCAGGGCTTCCCCAGTTTACAACAATTAACTGTCACAAAGAAAAATGAGTCAAATTTTGATTGAGAATTTGCTTGTTGAGATTCTGTTTTTATTTGTGACTACTTTCACTGCGACTGTGAGGTTTGTGCTTGATAAAATTCAGATTCTTGACTTAATTATGATAACATCTGTGCTGTTTCAGTGCTTAAATCTATTATTGGCAGAAGTTACAGGAAACACTGCCACTCGTTTGTCTTTTCCAGGAAGAAAGTGGAGCCATCTGCAACAGGACATTTCCTGTCTGGTTTTGTGCCCACATGATTTAAAGTGATCTATATCCTACTAGTTTGTTCTAAGGAGATGTAGTTATGAGACTCAAATAAATAACATCTGTCAGCAGGAGGTTGCTTAGAGCCGTTCTGGGTTGATCACGGCGTCATAATCTGTAATATTTCAGAAGGATTAAGTGGCCACAATGGGGTTGAGATGAAATGATAGAAATATGGTGTGACGTAGAGTATTAAGATAGTCATAAATCAAGCTGTATCTAAGATTTGACCATTTGTCTGTCGAGGTCATACCTCAAGTCTTTGCCAATGACAGCTGGAAATAGGCAGCAGCCTCTTCCGTGACTCTGAGCAGACAAACGGATATAGACAACGGGTGGATGAATCGATTGACTTGACCAATTTATCATCAAGTCATTTATCTGTTTTCTCAATGGCTAAGACTGTGGTTAATGAAGGGTTTGTTTGTGGATACAAAATTGATCACTGATTGATCAATTGATGACCTTGTAGAGAAGGGTCTCTACCTTCATCTGTTTATTGTTTTGCATCAGTGATCATACTAAACGTGACCAAAGTCTTTATTTTGTTCTTTTTCCCCATCATGCAGACACAGGTGTAAGAGACTACTACAAGAGCTACCCAATGGTCGATTACACCCACCGCCAATCTCCTCCAACCTTCCAGCCAATCAACTTCCACCCCAAGGACAAGCCCTTCCTGCCGCCTCCCGACGTCCACGCACCTCTCGCCATCACCATCAACGCCTCCCAGATGCCCAAGCCCAAGATCTCCAAAACCAACACGCACCCGCTCACCTCCAGCTCGGCCTTCAAAGCGTGGGACCCGAGCAAGAGCCACATCCCGCACCCGACGGCAACCCACATGGGCATCAGCGCGCAGCAGCAGCAGCAACAGCAGCACCAGCAGCAGCAGCACCACCCCATCCAGCAGCAGCACCCCCAGACGCTGCATCAGCAGAACAGTCGGCGCCAGGCCTACTCCAACAAGAGGCAGTTCAGCATCGAGACGTTGCCTGAGCTCTTCTCGCAGCCGCTGGGCTATGGCCACTCGCCGCACATGCACCCCAAGCACAAGGGACTGGCCACCAACAGCAAGACGGAGGTGACGGTGTGAGCGAACAGAGAAACGGAGTCGAGGGGAAGCGCTCTGATATCCTTTATATCCACTGCTACCATGTTGCGTAGCAAGCAAATATCACATCTGGGATTTTTATGAACTGCATTTTCCTCAGCATTTTTAACTGGAACAAAGATAACAGCGTGTGTGCGGCATTTGTGTGTTTCTGAGACCATCGGGTTGGAACCCCAACGGATGAGCCATGAAGGTGACGTAGCAGCAGGTGTCAGCTGTGACCCTTTGAGCCTGGCAGCTTTTCTAAATAACTGAGTGGCCTCTTGGTGTCTTGACACACCTCTCTGTATTGTCTCCCTCTTGGACTTTGCCACATTCTGCTCCACTTTGTAGCCCCTCTCCACCACGTCCAAGTGTTCAGATTCCACTCAGAGACTTTTCTTACCCTTAAACCCAAAGTCCAGACTCCGAGGCTATGAGAGAAGCCGACAGGGGGATGTTTTCCCTTGAAAGTTTGGCTTCTCATCAGCTGAAACAATATCATTGGGTTGTCAGCTCTCGTTGCCCTCCGGTCTTTTTAAGAGTGAGATATCAGCCTTGCAATTCATACCAGAGAGGAGGGCAGAGGATGGGGGGTGGGGGGAAGGCATTCATCTGAATCCAGAGGCAAACGTGATGAGAAGGGATCCAAACCGCGTGCAGAACATGCACACACTTGTCAGATTTTACTGAGAGTTTCTGGCAATGTCAGAAAGCCCGCAGACTCCGCATCTCTTCCCCTGGAGCCAAACAGAAACACAATTTTCTCTCAAAACTCTAATTCCACTAGACTTTTGAGATGAATTAGTGGGCTGTCTCATTGGACGCTAGAGCTTGATGATGTTTATATCTGCAAAAGAAGCGACTGATGCTGTAAAATGGGACAGAAAAGTCCAATTTGTCCAGCCAGATCATTGTGAAAAATAGCTTCACAAACGCACCAGAGAATCCATCAACTGCATATCTGGTGTTTCTATTTGGGTTGAGTTCATTCTCTAAGATTCGCCTTGCTATTTTCAACTCCATACTTATAAAGCGCCTTGTAAAAAGTATCGCTTGCAGTCGGAAGCACAAACGTTATTGCATCAACAGTTGCTAGAGAATAAATGCCCTATTTAAGACCAAGGAGGACAATATCCCAAGTTTTTAGCTTAGGTGGATGCGGCTGTCGACCTAAACTAAAAGACTAAGTAGGGAGAACAGAAGAGAACAAAGAGGTCCAGGGTAATTCTGAGGGATATTCAAAAATACCCAGAGAATCTGTAAACAGGAATACTAAATTCAGCCTCTATGGAGGAGTTGTAGGTAGAAAGTTATTCTTTAAAGACTCTGCTAGATGCTGCAAAAGACTGGGATTTAATGTTTACCTTCCATCTTTAAGACTCTTAACAAACAGCAAGAGACACAAAGGTGATATAAACCAAAACGTTTGTGTGTTAGAATGGTCCAGTCAATGTAAAGACCTAAATCCAATTCAGACTTCACCACCAAACTGATTTTTAAAGTCGCTCTCCGTCCAGTTGGACTCAGATTGAGCTATTTAGCAAAGAACATCTCAGTCTCTAGAAATACAAATGGGTAGAGTCACCGCTCCAGAAAGAACACGTCAAGATTTCTGAGTGGAGGATTACAAAACGTAAAAAAGCTCAAAGGGTGCGGGTACTTTTTGCAAGCCTCTGAATGCGTATTGGCTTCCTTACTGATTCTCAACAATGTGGAGTGTTTCTGGATGTAAGGACAGAAAGCACTAGAAAACAAGAACACCTCCTCCTGGACGGAGCCGTTTGATGCGAGTGTTTAGTGCTGCTGCTTGCGCTGCAGTTTGCTTCACTCCCTCTTAATGAAGTGTCTCAGCACTCCACGTGAGTGACTGCTAGCACTTAAACAAATCACTAATGTAATTCATCCCTCGGATGCACACAGCTTACACATCAAGAGAGCTTACTTGGTCTGAGGCCATGCTTTCATCCAAACGGAGAAAAAAACAAAATGAGAACTTCTATTTCTCCCCCCCGTTCTAATACCCTGCCGGCAATTTAGATGTTGGGATTTACGGTTTTCTAACGCGACCTAATATCTTTTGTTTTTGTGTTGACGCCCTCGATGTCCTACCGGCAGGATTTAAGGAATGCATCGTCGAGCAAGACTTGCCTCAATGTTCTGTTGGGTCGAAATCTTTTGTAAGTCCAGAGCCTTCATTTCGTTTTTGTGGAGCACATTCGCATTCTCAACACGTCGCATGCGGATGCTTGAGCCCAGGCCTACCGTGTAACATTTGATGGCCCCAGACATCCCCTAGGGCCGCTTTTCAGTGCGCAGGGTAGTGATTTACACCAGCAGCTCTCTGAATGAGAACAGTTCATCTGATTGTCGGGACGCTGCAGAGGCAATAGAAAGCGAGGAGACCCTTCTTTGGTTAGAAGATTTGATACTAAGACTATCTACTACTATCAATTTTCCAATCAATGCTTGTTCACCTTTTTCTCCATTTGACTTATCAAGCATTGCAGTCGGTGTATTTAAAAAGGAAACCGTTTTAAATACAAAGCCCCTCACATTTATTGCCGTCTCTGGTAAAAAATAAATCTTATGTTTTATTGTAGCAGCATGATTTCATGTGGAAAAGTGTTACAAAACCATTTAATCTGGGTATATTAACTCAGCGAAGAAAAAAAATATGTTAAGAAGAAAATCGACAGTGCCCCTAAAAATCCCTTCAAAAATGTATGTGGTTAAGGCATCTCTAATGTACACTTTACACTAAACTTTAAATCTTTCCCAGGGCATCAGTTTAATGTTAGGAAGCATCTCTGGCGACATTTGGCATTATGGATGCATATTAATCTAACACAATGATTGTGAGATCTGAAATGTCTGCAGTGTGTCTGAGGGGCCAACAAACAGCCACCATCTGACATGCAGTTCATTTCCATAAACAAACCCAAACTGGCAGAATCAGGCCTGAATTCAATGCGCCAGCAAACCTCTTGCACCTTTCGGACCTTTTTAGCCCTTCATGTCCTCAATTTAAAATCTCCGCCTATTTTAATTGTATGCAGTTCTTTAAATGGCCTGTGAGTAAATTATATATTACATAACAACTGTAACTTTCGATATCTTGCAAGTTATTTTTGCGATTTACCGTGTATTGAAAGATTGTCCCTCAGATTAATTTCACTCCCTGCTACGGTGGTGTGTGAAATTACCGTAATAACACAATATCGGCTGGAAAGTGCAACGTCTTCCCTTTCAGAAACAGTTGGAATTTTTTCAGAAAGCGCAAAGCGTGGCAGAAATACGGCACCGCAAATTTGGCTGGACCGCCGCCGTTCCGTTTAGGATTAATTCAGGATGTTGCCTTTGATCAAAAACTATCTGCAGGTGAAAATCAGACCCGTCCATTGATGTTCAAACACAGTGTCCTTGATGTTCTACGCACCTACTAAAAACCCTAGCTACTTAGAATTGATTTTAGGTAGTTACTGGCTATTTACAAGTACTTCCACTCAACACTGCTTCAAAAATACTGAAGAATGTCCTTCTGGTGACTAACTATACAAATAACTTTAGAGTGTTTTAGAGAACTTGTCCAGCAATGACTCCTCCTCAAACCAATATTCTTAAAAAAATAAAAACAATGCAGTTTATTTTTCTTATAACAGTTCAAGTTCCAGTTATTGATTGAATTCACCTTCAGTTATCATAAGGACACCAAATATGCCGCAGTGGATAAGTCTGGCACAAACTGCACCATTTACCATAGTCACACACTATTTAGCTATTTTTTAATCTTTCCCCCTCTTCTCTCTTTTCGTCATTGCGTCTGCCTCTCCCAGAATTGGTTAAGCTAAAATGAAAAATAGGCACTTTATAGTACAAACCACAGGGTGAAAATAGCAATCATTTTATATTATTTTTCCTTGATGACCGAACGTCACTGCTGTGCATCCATATCCATGAAAGGCTGAGCGATGGGTACCAGGAGCTTTGCTGGTGTTTGGGGCCCACTGCTCCGAGACGAACCATGAGACTCTCCCTGGATCCTCCTCGTGTGCGACTGACTGTGTGTTGGGAGTCGGCCATGACAGACGACAGCATCATGAAAAGCATGGCGGGCTCCAGATTCACTCCCCCCGCTGTGCAGTCAGACACAAGCATGATGAGGCTCGCACAAACGCAGACCGCAACATGAATTTGCCGCGTGTTTCTTCACATCTGGACACACGAAACGCCACTGAAACGAAGGTGTGAGCTATACATTTGTCCGGGGGAAATTTCACTCAGACAAATAAGCCGGCTTGCACTTAAAATTTAATTGAGTTGCAAACGAACACATCCAGATGAAAAAGGGGGGAAAGAGCAATGAAGTAAAACTTTAACAAGTGAGAATTAATTAGCAATATAACGCACGCTCCAACTGCTGCAGTGACTTCTCCACTTTACCTCTCCAAGATGTGAAAAACCTGTTAGGCAAGCTGCTGGAGTGCCGCTCGGCGCCCGCTGGCACGCCTTTGTAATAAGGGATCAGCTAAGAATGGGGGGGATCATGAATACAAAAGCACCAATGGGATATGCAGGGTGTGAATATGCATCAAACGCATCTGTGCTTGTGCTCGCTTCGGCTCTGCGCCGCATTTAATGTGCCGGTTCTCCTCCGTGGCATCCCTCTTTCCTTCTGACTTGTAGTCCCAGGAGGTGCAAACACTTTTAGTGGGTCACTTCATGTGAAAAAGCTTTCTGGCCTTTAAAACCCAGACCGAGCTGTCACAAATCACTGCTAATGCATTAGAGGAGTGGCTCTCTAGCCTTTAATGACGAGTACCATCTCATTATGCTGACAGACGTCATGAAACAGTGACAGAAATTTACATTTTGAGTTTAAGAACATGAGCAAAATATACTAATCTTATTCACTGTACATTTGGTTGAAGGATTCAAGTCTGGGTATGAATAACAGATCAGATACGAATGATTTGCTTTCAAATCGTTAGGAAGTCATCGTCGCGAGTTTAAATTTTTAGCCCTCAATAACGGGCGTCAAGCACATCTTCATTTTGGGCCATATCAAAAATCTGAATGTTCTTAAAGGGCCGGTTGAACCGGGATATATTGATAGAATCAGTAAATAGCCATTTCTCCTGGATTTTGAGATTACTTTAGTGTAATTTTTGCAATCAAAATGACAGATTTTGTGCCGTCAATCTAGAAATGTTTGTGAGAAATTTTTACAATGTACAATGTTAAATGTGACTTTTTATTCTATCAAATTGCAAACTATAAAATCAAGTAAAGCTGAGGTAGCAGTCAATTAAACTCAATGTTTTTGATCAATTTTGAGAAAATTTGCAATAAAACTAGAAAAAAAATGTAAAGAATTTTTGATTTTGTGTGGATTTTGCATATTAGGGCCTATTGATGTAATTTGGAGTCCAGAGGGACACATAAAAAGCTACGGCGGGCCAGATTCGGCCCCCGGGCCTTGAGTTTGACACCTGTGCCCTAGAAAATACTAGATGATTCTAAGCTGAACCGAAGAACCTTCACAGTTTTTTCTTCTGAAGATACTGGTATTCGAATCAAATGGCAGAGATAGATCAGCCAAAAATAGCACATGAACTATTCTGGTCTTCTCTATCTTCCATAGAGTAGACCAGAAGTATTGCCACAGTGTTGTTTTGCTTTCTACAACCCTGGTAGCATTGTGTACCATCGCTCTGGTCGTCATGGGATTGTCAGCCAGCACCGTCCTCAAGACGATCCAGAATTTTTTTCATGTCGTTTCATGATGGTGGTCTGGTCCAGCGAAACAGCAGCATCCCAGCTTACGTTCACTTCAGAGAGCATCTCCTGCCCTCCCCCTTCTTTCTGTGCCTCTCTGTGACAGAATCTGACAAGTGGTCTTCCTTTCTGAGTAGCTTCTTGGTAGCTTTGGTATTATCTGGATTGCCATTGTTTGTGGGATAACAGCATCTGCCAAACGCATAGACTTGGATTGTTGCCTTCCCTCAGAATTTGCACTGATTTTACATGTTCAGTCTTTAGATATTCTCGCTATCCTTCTCCCTTGTGTTTCCTGGTCAAATTAAAGACAGATGTACGCACGCGCCTCGTCATTTTAGCTGTTTGTTTATTCTTTTAATCAGCATGGAAATGGTAATATCAAAACTTCCCAAGGAGAGGACACCCGAGTATCACCCATAGTACTTGTAGCAAAGTCTGGAAACCTTGGCATTAGAAGTTGCGAAACAAAGAATGCTCAAGGACAGCAAGTAAACAAGCAATACGAATCGGTAAAGCAATAACAAGCAACCACCACACTTCACCCTCTCCTCAACCCATTTAGATCCCTTCTTAGAGTTCACGGGCTTACGCCAACGAGTGTGTGGAGCTTAAACAGAGGGGACAGAGGGGAGCACTGAGCAGAGAGGAGACTGCAGAGGGCCTGAGAGGACAGAGACTGGACTGAAAAAGATGATCTGGCTTGCATGGACACAGCAGATACGGCACTGGTTGTGTGTTGTTGTTTTTTTTTTGTTTGTTATCCAGATTTGTCTGCAGAGTCCTGAAGCATTCATCCTGGGTTCAATCTCTTTGATGTATTTGAGCAGTCAGCTTTATAAAAGGATTCTGCCGCCGCAGCTGCAACGAGAAGCGGGTCTGTACTCTGATCTGCAAATGTTCACAGCGGGATCTGGACCCCCTTGATATTCTCCTCATACTCTTGACAGACCTCAAGCTCTGCGATCGTAGAGCGAGCGAACGGCGCTGGATGTGCGACGCCGGCTCCGGGATTCACAATTAGAGGAGAGAAACAAGTCCTTCAGGACAAACACAGCCTGAGGACAAGCTACCAGCAAAGTCAAAGACACAACTTTTCTACATTTTTCTTGTCGCACGGATTAGCTGACGGTGCGAGCGCCAGCTGACTTTAACTTCTTCCTGCACTTTGGGAAATGTTGCTTCCAATGTGTCAGAATCCCAAGAAACAATCATTCTGACATACTGGAAAGAAATGGACACATTTCAGTGTTGATTTCCCTGTGGTCCAAAAGCTCTGGAGTTTTTATTTTTGTTTTAATAATTATTATTTAGTGCGTGTGTGTCTGTGTGTGTGTGTGTCTTCAATTCAGGCTGGACATCTTTGACTACCTTCAGGCAAAGACTAAATAAAAAAATAAAAAAAACAGCTGGTGAAGCTGAGTTAATTGGACTGGAAAAAGCCTCTGATGAGCCACAGTTTTGCCTCTGATGTGAACAATGTACAACATTCGCGCACAAGCACTCATGCACGTACAGACAAAGGATTCACATCTCCGTACAAAGACCACAGTTTTGTGGAATGAAACAGGACCAAAAGCCTTGAATCAGGGGAAACTGAGTACACCTAACTGACGCTTCAACATCCAAAACAGTGGGAATGCTGAGGCTGTTTTTGGATCGTCAGCTTAGAGTGAGTTTACTCAATCTCTCCTGATGAACGACAGACTATGGCGCCGCTCGCCCACCCGCGAGCAAACTGACTGTTGTTTCTGAACGTTCCTCTCCAAAAAATACACAACGCAAGTATTCTACCAAAGGTTATGTGAATGCAACCTGGTAGACATACTTGGGCATCCATGACCCTTAGCAATATGTAGACTATTGTGTACGGTTCAGTTGTTTCCTTGTCCTCTGTCAGTTTTCGTACTGTGTTTTTTCCAGGACTGAGCTCCTGTTTCGAAGCATTAAGACGTTAATTTGACCTATATAGAATCGACGAAGCGCTTCCAGATTTTAGACTCATGGCTGCACACCCTTCTAGATCTAGGCATCCCCACCCGTCATACGTCACACAATATAACTCCAAAGGTCACAGATGATCTTTTGAATTCTATGTCATGTATACGGTATGAAGCTCGTGATCTTTGTGAGTTACATTGTTGGGTGTAAACATGCACTTGTGTATTTATTGTTAAAGATATTGCATTGTATCTAAGTGCTTTGCCAACACGTTAGCTGAAAAAAAGGGGAAGACTGAGTAATTTCTTGTACAGCTTTTGCACCTCTGGAAAACTGAAGAAAAAAAAAAAAAGTCATGCTTTGTTTCATGATCATTTGTACTGGGCAGCAATAGGCTGCTTTGGACTGCTATGTACTCCTTGTGTATATATATATGAATGCCGTACCATTTGTCTGCTGTGAAAGTTGTTGACTATTCAGCTTATATAAGGGCTTTTTATAGATTTAAAACCAGACAGGCATCACTCTGTAACTCAAAGTATTCTCTGGAGGGTTTTCTTTTTTTTTTTGGTTTTGTTTCATTTTGTTTGTTTGTTTTCAGAAATGAAGGGATATGAACAAAAAATTTCATGCGTACAAAAATGCTGTATAAATAAAATTTTCAACTGACTTACTGAGGTGTTTTTAGGTACTCATGTTATATTTGCCCATGTGTCATGTTTGAATAAATCGTACAAGAATCAATCGTACTTGCGTGGAGTGCTGCGGCTGCTTATTTTCAACCATGAAACTTTTGGCTTGTGTGGAAAAATGAACCAAGTGGATGCTGTTTTAAAGGAGGGGTGTTAAAGTAAAATCAAATTTTTTGAACTTTACATCATCTTACAACATACCTGGAGAGTCGCTTGGATTCTTTTACGGAAGTTTGAGAAATCCTTGAGTCTCTCATGGCGACCATTCAGCGGTGCCTAAACGCTCCTCAGTGGTCCTGATGTCGGCCATGTTCTGGGATTAGATAAGAGTCTGGCTCTTGACTCATCTTCCTTTCTTTGTCTGATTTTACTCTAGAGGTTTAGGTTTACAAGCATAAATGTGTTGCGCACTTAAAAAGAAATACTATTAATCCAATACATCATATAGAAACCTTTTAGAAATATCAACAGATGAATATGTCGACAGTCTTCTGGCTGCAGAGTGAACGCCACTTGTTGGTGCCGCCTTCTTTCAGTATTGAAAAGGAGAAGATGCAATACGACCATCTAGTATGTTTTGCACAAACCTCCAAAGTGGAAGAAGTTGTGTCTGAATGTTGTTGCATTAATGAGTGAGACAAGAACTCTGAGGTTTTGCAGAAGAGCATTTCAGGCGTAGGCGTTTTAAATTGCACTATCATCGCTGGAAGGAGTCGTTTTTTTAGCCTATTTTACCACCATTTCACAGCCTAGTAAAGCCATAGTTGACAGCTGAAGCTGTCTCCCCCACCTTTTCCCTCAGCAGTCTATATTCAGATTTAGCAGCTCTAAAGCTGGCAAGGATATGAATATAGGATCATATTTGTTTGAGATTTATTAAATAACTTCTAACCTTGTCAATTTAAATACAGCGGAGGATAAAGGCACACATTTCAGCGGTATACCCGAGTGCCAACATGGTTTATTCATAATGTACAGTGCAATGATTGAGGAGAAGCTCTAAATCTGAACACATCGGCGTCAGCAAATATTTAAATTCAGATTTAATTTATTTCATGATCAGATAGGAGCAGCTCCATCAGTAAACATAAATTTTCTTGGCCTTGTCAGTTCTCCTGACCAGACGGACTCCTCTCAGACACCAGAACTCGAATGGGCCTCTTCGTTGGTGGGATGCTGAAGTCAAATAAGAATGTCTCCATTACATGGCTTCATCTCGCTGAGGACCATTTCACTATCTTTTTGCTTCTTTCTTCTTTTTTTTTTTTTTTTTTTAGATTAACGCATTACGAACATGAGTCATTGTTGAAAGTCATAAGGAAGATCCATCCTTTGACAAAGACAGGTGCATTGTGGGAAATCCTGTATTGTGGAGATTCAGATGCCTGTAATGATGTCCTCCGTCAATCATGCAGGAAAGACCTCCAGCAGGAAATGTTACACCTTTGAGGTAGTCAAGTTTGATCATCTTCTTTTTTATCAGGGCTGATAAAAGAGACCAGAGGATCCAACTAAGGTACTAAAGCTTAGCTGCGTGTATCTTTTCCTTCACTGTCAAAGCAGGTGCTTTTCTTTCCAAGCTTTATCTGATTGCACTGGTTATTATGTAACAGGTCTCAGTCAGGATATTGAGGTTATGATGAAATTGACAGCAGGTGGTGTGCTCTCTGCACAATATGGCGACATGCACGACACGTTTCGCCTCATCACGTAGACGCAAACCCCCTATAGGCCATCGACAGCTCTCCGAAGATGAACCATACTGGGCCTTTCTGTGTGTGTCCTGGCAGGTCTGTGGGCATCATCTCTAGCTGCCACAGATGTCACAGTTCATCTGTGTGTCTCCAGGGTTTGGACCAAAGCCATCACGGAGAGCAAAAAGCCAAATGCCACAAACCATGTCCACAATAATTCTCTCTCCATCACTCCACCGCTGTTCCTCTCCGACACATCGGCAACTTAGAGGCTCCGCGCAACGCAAGTAGAGTTCCTACTGGAACACGGTGCGCTAAATAATAAAACATACCTTAACGAAGCTTCGAGGCAGGTGAATTTTCCTTGAGTCGTTTCAGCCGTAAAGAAATACAAATTTGCTGTATCTTGTTTTAAAGGTTAGGTATCAATCATTCATCACATAAGACATCTTCAGAATAACAAACAAATTTATGATCTTCACAGCAGTCCCCATCTGCTCTATAGAGTATTGCATTGTCTGCCAGCCTATTGTTTTGGTAAAGTGCATGACCTTATAGCTGGTATTGATGCTTTGTCCCTTCATCAGATTCGTTCCCTTGCACAGCAAAGCCCACGCTGTGCATCAAACACTGGTAAGAAGAAAAAGAAAACGAAACAGGCACTTTGGGGGATTAAACATCTGGAGAAAAAGATTTCCAGACCACAACAGTGAACCAAAATTTCTTTAAACGCAATGAAAATGTAAACAAATTCTTTGGACATAAATCAGTGTGTTTGTTTTCTGTATTAGTTTATCTCACCTATTATCCCAGCTTTGGGAACCCAGCTTTTTTTGTGGTTTGGAATCCAAATAGTGTCAGGAACAAAACTGTGTTTCCATCTTGTTTTCTCAAAAAGCTATTAGTTAATGCAGTCACAAAGTGCCTGTGTTTGCTGACTAGATTGAGCAGAGAAACCCTATTTATTTCCCCTCTGTCAATAGGTACTTACATAGATGGCCCTATAAAGATACACTGAGGCTAATTTTGTTCCAGACGGTGTGTCCGGTGAGATGTCCTCAATCCATCCATCACTCCACCCATCACAATTGCATTTTACCAGCCCATCTTTATGCCTCCCACCCAGGAAAGGGATTTCAACCAACACCTGACAAAGCCTGATAAGACAACAGCTGCCACTCATTGTAGAAGATAATCACAGGCTGTGTGAAGCGGAAGTGAAAAAAGGAAAGAGAAAACACCACCAAAAGGCAAAAACAGAGGGGGAGGAGGCGAGAGGAGGAGGGAAAAGTGCTGGAAACACTCCCTCTCTGAAGAAACACTGTCAAAAGGAGAATAATCAGAAGAATGAAGCCGTGCCAGATAATGCCCAGAGAAAATGAGGGGGGACAATAGACATCTGACAGGAAAGGAGATGACATTTCAAGCTGCATGAGGAAAGGGAGACTGATGCTCCGCTGCAGACCAATTAAAATACATTAGATGTGGGAAGAGGAAATAAGAGGATGTGTTAAAGGGGGAAAAAAAAGGGATAGCTGGAGCTGTGGTGCTGCAGAAGACGGCCGGGCACAAAGCGTGAGCTGAGAGAGCGTGGAGGAGGTTGAGCCAGCTAACGCAGCGGTCCGCTGGGGAGCTCGCAACAGGAAGCGGAGCTGTGGAGAGCTGGGAAAGTGCTGAGTTGGGTGGTTCAGCAGGCAAACGGCTCGCCAAATATGAGTGGATTTATTTCCAGACACGAGGATCTGAGGCACCGTCACTTTAACCTTTCGTAACATATTCGGTTCGACTCTGGACGTTGTTTCTGAAATCAACACAAAGTAGAACATGGCTCTGAAGATGAAGAAGAAAGCATTTTGGAAATGAAATAATGAAAATCTAAAACGTTTGACACGCACTTATGATCAAGCATATACCGAAAAGGAGGTTTAGTCCCATTATCACACAAACCTCCAAAAGTACTCCATAAAGTACTTTTGACGTTTGTGGTTGAAACAGCAAAATACGTGGCCTGATGTTGGCGTCTAAGTTAAGATTCTTCTCCAAGGAGCTGAAAACATTGAAATACTCGTTATTGAATGAATACCCCCATTTATAAACACCTGTCAAACTATCCGTTATGAGTCGTGATGTTAACTGGCACAAAGTGACGAAGCAGTTACTTTCCTATAAGCATAAATCTTTTCTCACTCTATTATCGAGATATTTTTTTCTCTGAGTGGTAAAAAAAAAAAGGTCTAAAATCACAGCAAAGTAGGTTTTTCTCTATTTCCTTCACCAGCTACTCAGATAAAAACCCACACAGCTCTCCAATAAATTTAGTATTATCTTTTTGTAGAAACTGCATCAATTCGACTTATTTTAAGTACTTTATTTGGATTTTGGATTTCATGGTTTTGTTTGACCAGGTGTGATTTTTTTTTTTTCTTTTTTTTCTGAATTATCTTGCTGAGATGCCTATTATGTGAGTTATAGCAGGACTTAGCACAGAAATAAGTAGCTCAAACTGGAACTGATAAAAGTAATTAGGATATCTCTCCTCCTCTGGCTCTGCAGTCAAAACAGCTCTTTCCACACAGCTCAGCCAGCCCATACACACACACACCACACACACACACACACACACACACACACACACACACACACACACACACACACACACACACGTATGCACGCACGCACACACACGTAGATCCATCTGCAGCTCTGCAGGCCCGGCCATCAACAACTCCATCAATCTGGTCATGTCTGCAACCAGCTGTCAGCACGCAGTCTAGAGGGTAACAAGCTGGCAAAATAGGTTTAGGTGTGTGGGTGGAGGTGTATAACTGCAAATCTGTTGCACAATTAACATGTAGCAGCCGGCGAAACAAAAATGATAATAGATTAATAAAATGCTAGGAAACAGATCATTTCTTGCAGTGTCATGACAGCATATTTTTCTTCTCACCCATGTGTAACTGTCAAAATACAAAAATCGAATAAAGGCGCTGCCAGATTGGCTGCTGTCCAAACGCCAGCCAACAGTGTGTCAGGTGACACCGCGCTCAGATATTTCAGCAAATAAACAAACTGAAACTGGCCGTGCTTATGAACCCCGATGGGCACACGACGATGGTTAAATGTGGTGCGCTGATCTTAGAATAGGTTCCGGATGCACGCACACCTCCAAGTTGGACATACACAAGAACCCGCGTCAAAAGAAGACCCAGGAATGTTCAGGCTGCAGTTCAAATGCAAAGCTGGTTAATCGTACTTCCAAATAGATGTTTTGAAATGATCTTGTGTTGATGACAAAGAGGACGAGAAGGAAAGAGAATATTAGTACAATAATTCTTTAAAAGACGACATAAAAAAAAAGACTTT